CTCGCCTTAGCGCCGCGCGCATTCGTTATTAGAATTTGCACGGGCTTCACGCATTTAGGTCGGGTTTCGTCACTGCGTTTCGTCCTCATCTACAGTGGTGGAAACGCCCGTCACCTGGCCGTGAACTCTGTCCGTCCCGTGGCTTCGAATGTTCTGGCAGTCAGGTCCGCGCGTTCTGACCAGCTCTGGCAGTGCATGCATTTCCCTGGCTCTGGTCCACCGCTGGCCCCCGCTGGCCCCTGGGATGCTGGTGCTCGCAGGAGTGGCTGAGCCTTCTTGCCCAGTCTGGCGTGGCCCCTGGCGGTCTGCATCCCGTCCCTCTGGCGCCCGGTGGCGACAAGGTAATTCCCGTGCCTGGCGATCTCGCTCCCATGGTACTCGCACGTTGCAATTCTCCAGCCGCCTCCGCAGCTGGCAGCTTCCACCCCTCGGCGCAGCCCAGCCCCGGCGCAATTCCCCTCGGCGGTAAGCTTTGTCTGCTTGCTCCGCGCGCGCGCCGGCAATTAGGGTGCTCGCGGCCCGCGTTACTCTTCTGACGCTTTTGGCGCGCTCGCCTCTACAGTCGGGGCGTTGACCTAAGGAACCCTAAATAAGGAACGAAGCCCCCTTTCTCCATGAGTTTAACTTTGATTTCCAATCGAAAACCTAAGGAAAACCAAAGGCAAGCAGCACAACAATTAAGGAACACTGAGCCCCTCCCCAACGAGAAGGGTTCCTTCTCCAGGGCCCCGGCTGTACTCTTCTGACGCTCTTGGCGCGCTCGCCTCTAGCTGCGGAAAAAAGTATGGAGGTCGGCTCGATGTCAAATGGCATGCTCGCAGTGCGCCGGCCTGTGGCCCCGCCAGCTGCACTGAGTTCGCTGCGACTTGGCCTCGCCGCTCAGCGCGCGCGTGCTGCGATCGTAATAGTAACCATACAGTCGGGGCGTTGACCTAAGCAACCCTAAATAAGGAACGGGGCCCCTTTCTCCCATAAGTTGAACTTCGATTTCCCATGGAAAACCTCAGGAAAACAGAAGGCAAACTGTAGAACACCGAGCCCCTCCCCAACGAAAAGGGTTCCTTCTTCATGGCCCCAACTGTAGCAGCCGTCATAAGAATAGCCGTAGTGACAATAGGATTAACAGGAGAAGTCGTGAAATCGTGCAGCAACACTGATCTGGCTTCTCCCCACCGCCGCCGCCCTATGCGATGCCTGTTGTGATCCTTGACGCGAAATGGATGACCGTCGGCTGTCCCGAGGGGGGGGCACTCACGGGTACCGCCCCCGCCCCGCACGGAGCGTTAGAAGAGCACCGCCCGCCGGCCCGCACGGCAACACTGAATATGCCCCGCCCGCGACTAGTCGCAGTAGCGGTGATGCGTCTGTGGAGCGACTGTATGCATCTGGCCACATATTGGGCCAGTTGCGACGGCATAGTACCAGTAAGAGTGCGAACGCGTACTAGTACTAACAGCGATCGTTGTCGCAGTATCGTATTACTACTGATTAGGATTGGTAGTAACATGTAGTAACACAGCGTAATGGTCGTAGTAAGAATAAGAAAATCATCGTAGTCATCGTCTAGTGCTAATACTTTGTGATGATAGTACTACTTCCGGGCGGGTTTCAGCCTTCTTTGTTCCGTTCCCCCACACCGTCGCCGCTCTACTCCCCGCGACAGACACGTTGCACGAACGACACGTCGCACGAACGAAGCGCCGCACGAACTGTAACATTTCGAAGGGGCTCGAATCAAAAATTTCCCTTCTCGTTCTGCCCACCGCCCCTGCCTCATGCGATTCCTATTGTAACCCTTGGCGAGAAATTGATGTCCGTCGGCTGTCCTGGGGGGGGGCACCCCTGGGTATCGTCCCCGCCCCGCGTGGAGCGTTATCTTCGAACCGCGGAAGGCTTAAAAAATATCCCGCCCGCGAGTGGTAGTAGTGGTAGTAATAGTCGTAGTAGTAGTAGTAGTAGTAGTAGTAGTAGTAGTAGTAGTAGTAGTCGTAGTAGTCGTAGTAGTAGTAGTAGTAGTAGTAGTAGTAATAGTAGTAGTAGTAGTCGTAGTAGTAAGTAGTAATAAGTAGTAGTAAGTAATTATAAGTAGTAGTTGTCGTAGTAGTAGTAGTAGTAGTAGAAGTAGTAGTAGTAGTAGTAGTAGTAGTAGTCGTAGTCGTAGTAGTAGTAGTAGTAGTAGTAGTAGTAGTAGTAGTAGTAGGAGTAGTAGTGACAGTACTAGTAGTAGTGGTAGTAGTAGTAGTAATAGTAGTAATAGTAGTAGTAGTAGTAGTAGTAGTAGTAGTAGTAATAGTAGTAGAAGTAGTAGTAGTAGTAGTAGTAGTAGTAATCGTCGTCGTCGAAGTAGTCGTGGTAGAAATAGTAGTAGTAGTAGTAGTAGTAGTAGTCGTCGTCCTCGTCGTCAACGTAGTCGCACTAGCAGTAGTAGAAGTAGAAGCAGTAGTAGTAGTAGTAGCGATAGTAATGACAATACTCGTAGTCGCAGTTGTAGTCATAGTAGTAGTAGTAGTAGTAGCAGCATCAAATGTAATAGAAGTAACAGCGGTAGTGGTAATAATAGCAAGTGGAAGCAGTAGGAGTAGTAGTAGTGGTAATAGTAGTAGCAGTAGTGCTAGTAGTAGTAGAAATAGTAATAATAGTAGTCGTGGTAGTACCAGCAATAGTCGTCGTAGTAGTCGTCGTAATCGTAGTAGTAGTAACAGTGAAGCTGTAGTAGCACAAGTGGTAGTAGTAGTAGTGGTGAATATTAAAAAACTACCACTCGGACTAGCAATGACTATAGTAAGGGCAATGGTAGTAGTAGTCGTCGTGGTAAAAATTCGAAAGCATTAGTAACGGCTGTAGTAATACTCAAATGGAAAATAGTAGTAGGAGTAGTTGTTGCTGGTGTAGCAAAAGTATAAGTAGAAATAGTAGTAGGTAGTAGTAGTCGTAGTAGTAATAGTCGTAGTACTCGTAATAGTAGTAGTAGTAGTAGTAGTAGTAGTAGTAGTAGTAGTAGTAGTAGTAGTAGTAGTAGTAGTATCAGTAGTAGTAGTGGTAGTGGTAGTAATAGTAGTAGTGGTAGTAGTAGGAGTAGTGGCAGCACTGAGTGGCAGCAGTATTCGTATTATTACTAAGTCGAACTATAGAAGCACTGGGTAATACTGCTAGTGCTGCGGTGTAGTAGCACGAGTGCGTATACTCAGCAGTTGTAGTCGTAGTGATAATATACAATAAGACTTACAAATGCATAGTAGCAACTGTAGTAGTACTAGTAGTAGTGGTTGTAGTAGTATCGGTACTAGTCGTCGTAGTAGTAAACGTCGTATCAATAGTAGTAGTAGCAGTAGTCGTAGAAGTAGTAGTAGTAGTAGTAGTAGTAGTAATAGTAGTAGTAGTAGTAGTAGTAGCACTAGTAACACGAATCGTAAAAATAGTGGCAGTAGTAGTAGTCGTAAATTCTGTGCTCGTACCTGGTAAAACTCACTAATAATAGTCGTACTAAGACGTAGTAGTAGTAATCGGAATCAAATGATACTGCCGCTGAAGACTTGAAAACCGTGCAATTGGTTGAAACGAATGTGCGCGGCGCAAAGGCGAGAGCCACATGCTGAAAACTAACCGACCTCAATCTGTGAAACTCTTGGAAGTGTTTGAAACGAATGTCTGCACTAAGGCGAAAACCACATGTTGAAAACGAGCCGCCCTCAATCCGTTAAACTGTTGCAACATTTTCCAGACGAATGCGCGCGGCGCTGATGGGAGTGCATCATTTTGAAAACTACCCGCCCTCCATCCGCGAAGCTCTTGCACATGTTTGAAACGAATGTCCCTGGCGCACGGGCAATAACCATATGTTGAAAACGAGCTGCCCTCAACCCGCGAAATTCTGAAAAATTAAAACGAATGTGCGCGGCTCTGTGGCGAGAGCCACAAACCGCCCTCAATCCGTGAAACTCTTGCAAAAAAGTTTGAAACGAATGTACGCGGCGCTAAGGCGAGAGCCACATCATCCTTCCGGTGCGGAAATAACGCTTCCTGGTGCGGGAAGCGTTATCCTTTTGCCGGAAAGGCGGGTCTTGAATACTTACGACAACCATAGCCACGAAGGCATTCGGCATGCTCACAAAATGCCTCTCGGGACGCCGACCTGATGCAAGCAACGCCAAAGGCCCAGGACCCTTGGGAAACGGAACCGCTGCAACCCGTTCGAAGATCGGCAGAAGGGCGCAGGCCACCGGAACAACATGTGAAACGTCGAATGGCACACAAAATATATAAAATGGGCAGAGCAACTCCCACCGGCCCTCTGGGCTCAGATGGTTTGAAGCGACCTCTGTTCCAACTCCCTGCTGCACCTCCGGGGAGGGGCTGAATCACCCCTCCCCCCCCCTACCCCCTGCCCTGGGGTTGCGGCCAGAGTGCCGCGACCACTCCGGGCGCCCGTAGTGTCCCCAGATTGCCCAAAATTGCATCCAAGATTGCCTCCAGGATGGCATAAGCGACGAGGGCCCCAGAAGAGCCCAAGGAGAACAACAGGAGGCCAACAAGACGGCCACGGCGGCCACAAGAAGTGCTCCGAGAGCGCCCCGCTGCTGCACGAGGAGCGCCAGCGGAGGCCCCACGGAAGGGCCCGAGGCCTCTCGGGTCGGGCGAAAGGGGGGGGATAGCCAAGAGGGGGGGTTTGAGAATCAGCTCACGTAGCTGATCTTCCAGGCGCCTCCGAGCGCCGGAGGCGGCTACGTATCGAGGAATGGGCCCCTCGGTGGGGCCGAAACCAGCTGCGTGCAGCGAATTTCGTCCCCCCCCTTTCCCTATCCCCCCCCTCTCGTCCGACCCGAGCCTCAGGACCCCGTAGCCGCTTCCGAAACCGAGGCGGACCTGTCCCAACGCGTGGACTGTGCTCCTCTGCGCCTTTTCCTTGCGCTGGCCCCCTGCTGCTGGTCAGAGTGCGGTTGCCACAGCACTGTGCCAGCAGTCCCGGACTTGCACGGGCCGCAGCCGCAAGGAGGTGGCGCCTGGTGTAGTGCTTCAGGAGCGGCGCGAAACGAATCTGCATGTACTCCTGATCGCCGGCCAACGCTACTGTCCACAAGCTGGCTCACCGCACCTGTCTTTGTGTGCACGTGTGTGCGCGTGTTGCGCTATCGTTCTTTATGTCTCGCTCTCTCTCTCTCTCTTTCTCTCTCTCTCTCATTCTCTTTCTCTCTCTCTCTCTCTTTTTCTCTCTCTCTCTCTCTATAGATATATTTCGCCTCATCTCTCTTTCTCCATATGTGCCTCTCTGCATCGACTTATGCCATTTATGTATCCGCTCTCTCTCTCTCTCTCCCTCCCTCCCCCATTAATTCACTCTCTCTTTCTCTTTCTCTCTCGCTCTTTGTTTTGTTCTCTCTCTCTCTCTCTCTCTCTCTCCCCACATGGTTCCTTATCTTTCTGTGTTTCTCGGTTTCTCCAGCTCCCAACTGATTGGTTCCAGCTATCACGCTCTTTCGATATCCTTCCATGAACTTACAGTTCGCTGGCCAACTCCTGCACGTTATGCCATTATATCTCTCCATTTCTCTCTCTCTCTCTCTCTCTCTTCGTTGTTTCTTTCTCTCTTTATATGTCTCTCTCTCTCTCGTTATGTGGTTGTGTTGCGTGTTGTTTGTGTGTTCTCTCTCTGACTCTCTCTCTCTCGCTCTCTCTTCGTCTATCTCTCTATCTCTTTCTCGTTGTTTGTTTTGTTATTTGTTGATTTATATAGCTATATAGATATATCCTCGTTTGTGTCGTCCCTTCTCTCCCATTTGACATCTCTCGCTCTCTTGCTCTAATGGGGGAGATAAATGAATATGAACTCGAATAAAAAGGGGATAACATGACCATTATACAGAGAGAGAGAGAGAAACAAGAGAGAGAGAGAGAGACAACAAACACTAAGGGAAAGAGAGAGAGAGAGAGAAAGAGTGGGAGAGAGAGAGAGATAACAAAAACAAAGAGCAACCAACACCGTAAAGAGAAAGAGGGAGAGAGAGAGAGAGAAACAGAGAGAGAGAGAACGAAAGACAGAACAACAGACAGGAATTAACACAGAGGAAGGGATACCGCGCCTCCCGCGACGCAAATCCTGAAAACCATGTTTGAACTGATCCCAGAAACAGACCCCCACCTCTCCCCCCCCAGCAAAAAAATCAACCCCGCGGGGCCACCCCAAAACCACCCCCCCCTCCTCAACCATCCCCAGCCCCACCCCCCACCCCTGTGAGCATGGAGAGCGGGACCCCTATCCCCCCCAAGAGCAAGGGGTCCCTTCCAGGGGCGGGGGGGGTTGGGACCTCCCCGGCCCCCCGACCCCCGACCGCTGCTGGCAACCAACGACGGCGACAACGACGACAATCACCGCCAAACGACGACGAAGACGAACGACGGATCACGAACGACGAACGACAGACGACGACGCGCGACGACGACAGCGACGACGATAACGACGAAGACGACGGACGACGACAGCAGACGTGGACGACGGAAGATGAGAACGACGGCCGATGGACAGCCAACAACCAACGACGACGACGACGAAGGATGACGACGACGGACGACAACAACGACGACGACCAACGACGAACGACAAACGACAGACAGACAGACAGACAGACAGACAGACCGACAGACAGGCAGACTGGCGGGGGAGGAGGAGGAGGGCCCAGACAGGCAGACTGGCAGGAGGAGGAGGGCCCAGGAGGAGGAGGAGGAGGAGGAGGAGGAGGGGAGGAGGAGGAGGAGGAGGAGGAGGAGGAGGAGGGCTCAGGAGGAGGGTCCGTCCGTGCGCGCGCAGCCTGGCTGGGGGCCCCCCGAGGACAACCGCTGCCTAACGCCCAAGCCACCAAACATCGGCCACATACCCTAAAACGACACGAAGATCGGGACAAAATCGGATCGGGATAACTCGAAATCTTTGAGAATCGGCGGGTTTGGAGGATGTACTGGGCGCCGCGGCCGCTCCAGAGCGTTCCGGAACGCTCTGAGAGCGCTCCGGAACGCTCTGGAGCGATTTATCCCGATCCTAGCCCTGTTTTATACCCCCGGGGGCGGGTACCTCTAGGCTCCGCTGCTCGGGGGCGCCGCGACGACCGCGAGGTCGGTATATCGGCGCTTCTCGGGCCGGCGCTCAAACCCCGCCCGCCGCCGCCCAGCGCCCGGGCCCGCTGCAGCTTCCGACGACGACCGACGACGACCGACAACGACGGACGAGGACAACGACGAAGACGAGGACCACGGCGACGGACGAGGACGGACGACGAGACGGACAACGACGACGACGACGACGGAGACGATGCCGACGACGACGGACGACGGACGACGGACGACGGACGACGACGACGACGACGACGACGACGAGGACCACGACAAGGACGAGGACAACGGCGACGGACAAGGACCGGCGACGAGACGGACGACGATCGACGATCGACGACGACGACCGACGACGGACGACGGCGTCGACGACGACGAACGACAACGACGACGCGACCGAACGATAAATGACGACCGACGACGCCAACGAAAAACGGACGACGACGACGACGACGGATGATGGGCGGCGACGATGACATCGAACGACGCACGACGACGACAGACGACGACGCACGACGGACAACGAACGACGACGACGGTCGGAGGACGTGCGACGGAGGATGAGCGACAACGACGGACGATGGACGACGACGGCGGACGACAGAAGACAAACGACGAACGATGGCGACGACGACGACCACGACGACGACGACGATGACGACGACGACGAAGACGACGACAACAACCACAACCAAAACAACAATAACGACAACAACAACCACAACAACAACAGCAACAGCAACAGCAACAGCAACAGCAACAACAACAAACAACAACAACAACAACAACAACAACAACAACAACAACAACAACAACAACAACAACAACAACAACAACAACGACGACAACGACGGACGACGGACGACGGTGACAACAGCCGACGGACGACGGTGACGTCGACGACGACGACGGCGACGACGAGGACGAGGACAACCAATACGACGACGAACGACTGACGAAGACGACGACGAGGACGACGGCGACGAGGACGGTGACGACGTGGTCGGCAATGACGACTACGGGAAAGACGACGAAGACGACGAACGACGACGAACGACGACAACGTCGACGCCGAAGACGGACGACGGCAACGACGAGGACGACGACAACAACGGCGACGATGACGACGACGACGTCGACGCCGAAGACGGACGACGGCGAAGACGACGACGTCGACGACGGGAACGGGCGACGACGAATACGACCACGGGGGCGACGACGCGGGCGAGTGGGTCGAATGAGCGGGCGGACACCAATCGGCGGGTAACGTCGGGCGGGCGGACCCGGGCGGGTGGGCGGCTGGGAAGCGCGAACTTCAAACCCTGTCGCGCGGGTCGGGCCGGGAAGGCGGACCTTGGGCGGGTCGGGCGGGGCGTGCAGGACACTCCGTCATGAGGCGCGCCGGTGTTGGCACGGAGAAACCCGGGCGGGCGGGTTCGGTCGGGCAGGCGCGGGCCCCGCGGGGCGGGCCGGGTCGTGCGGGCGTGTGATAACAGTGGTGCGCACGAAGAACTGACTACCTACCAGACCCGAAGACCCGAATTTCGGGTTGGGGGGGGTAAGGGTTCCACACGAGATTTTTCGATGTTTCCCGACCCCCCCCCACTGGAAATCGAGGGTAAATCTGAGCCTTCGGGTTGGGTTGGGGTGGTTTGGTGGGTGGTGAAGAACTGGCCCGCAAGATCGGGCCGCCCGGCGCACACCCACGGGCGGGTCGGGTCGGGCGGGCCGGGCAGCGGGTGGGCTGCGCGGTGCAGCCAGCCCACGGGGGCTCTTGGCGGGCGGGTCGGGTCGCGCGGGCGGCTCTTGGCGGGCGGGTCGGCTGCGGGAAAATTTCGGGCATGCAAGAGAGCCCTGGCGGGCGGGCTGGGCTGACGAGAGTGGACCCTCACGGGCGGGTCGGGGCGGGCGGGCAAGACATGAAAGTCGTCGTCGTCGCCGTCTTCGTCGTCGGTCGTCCCCGACGTCGTCGTCGTCGTCGTGTCGTCGTCGCTCGTCCCCGTCGTCGTTGTGATCGTTGTCGTCTGTCGCCTGTCGTCCGTCGTCGCCGTTCGTCCACGTCGTCGCCGTTTATCGTCATCGTCCACGCCAACGTCGGCCGTCGGTCGTCGTCGTGGTCGTCGTCGTCATTGGGGTCGTCGTCGTCGTCGACGTCGACGTCTGTCGTCTGTCGTCCGTCGTCCGTCGTCCGTCGTCGTCGTCGTCGTTCGTCTTCATCGTCGTCCGTATCAACATCGACGTCGGCCGTCGGTCGTCGTCCTTACGTAGTCCTTCTGGTAATCGTCGTCGTCATTGTCGTCCGTCGTCGTCGTCGTCGCCGCCGTCGTCGCTGTCGTGGGTCGATCGTCCTCGTCGTTGTCGTCGTCCGTTTTCGTCTGTCGTCCGTTGCCCGTCGCCGACGCCGTCCGTCGTCGTCCGTCCGTCCGTCCGTCCGTCCGTGCGTCCGTCCGTCCGTCGTCGTTGCCGCCGTCCGTCGTCTGTCTTCCGTTGCCCGTCGTCATCATCGTCCGCCATGATCATCGCCGTCGTCCGTGGCGATCGCCGGTCGCCCGACGATCTTCGTCGTCGTCGTCGGTCATCCTCGTCGTCGGTCATCGGTCGTCCGTCCGTCCGTTGTCGTTGTCGTTGTCGTTGTCGTTGTCGTCGTTCGGCACTCGGCGCTTTTTGGTCGTCGTTGTCGTCGTTATCGACGTCCGTCGGCCGGCGGTCGTCGTCGTTGTCATTGAAAGTCGTCCGTCGTCCGTCCTCGGTCGCATGCCGTCCGTCGTCCGTCATCGTCGTCATCGTCGACATCGTCTTCGGTTTCGTCGTCATCGGGTTGGGCGTCGCCGTCGCAATCGTCGTCGTCGTCGCCCAGCGTGGACGGAGCGGGCGCATTAGAACCTGGGCCGGCAAGGGAACGGAAAGAGCTCTTCAGAGATTCCACCAGCCCTCTGGGATGAGTAATTCAGTGGTCTTAACGAGTTCTTCCTTTCCTCTTCCGAAGCCCCTCATCCCTTCGGGGAGGGGAGGTTCGCGTCGTGACGACCCTGGCGTTGGTTTCTGACACCGCGTGGATCGTTCAACCTTAAACGATCGGCCGTTCCCGCAACGTCCATTCTTTCAACATCGACCGATTCTGGGTCGCCGGCGGCGTTCAACGTTAAACGCCGCGGGCGGGGTCGCCGACGGTCGACACGACGCGAACCTGCCGTAGGGGCACAGGGCCCCCTCCCCATCACCAAGGCTTTTTGTTTGGCAGGCCGCGATCGGTCAGGACGCCCAGAACGGCCCAAGAGGACCCCCGCTGCTCCGAGGTGGCCTCCAAGGCGGGTCAAACCAGCAGGAGATGGTCAAAGATAGCCTCCCACAGGCCTCCGAGGGGCCCAACGAGAGCCACAAGACGGTCCCGAGTGCTTCCGGAGCCCCTTCAGGACCCCAAGAAGGAAGTCAACATCCGACAACATGGAAAAATCCATGATGCACGTCTTCTCGCTGTTTCGCTTTCGATGCGCTTCGGGGGCCTCAGGACGGCGCCAAGATTAAGTCGGGCCTGTCCCCTACAGAGGGATTTTCGACGAAAAGTCCCCAGACTATTTTTGGACTATTTTTTGACTATGTTGGGGGAATATTTTATTTTTCGTCGCAAATCCCCCTGTAGGGGGACAGGCCCGACTTCACGCCAAGAGGGCCCAAGGGAGGCCCCCCAGACTGCCCGAAGAGAGGCTCCCGAGAACGGCCCGAGAGCGCCATGAGAGGGACCGAAACTGGGACGCTGATGGCCCAGGGGGGAGAGGCAAGTCGAGGACCCCTCCTCCGTGGATCGAGGCAGAGAGGTACATCGAGGGAGAGAGGTAGATCGACGGGGAGAGGTAATTACAGCGAGGACCCCCCTCCCATGGATCGGCGCCCTGCGGGGACCCCGAGGAGGAGGGCCCCGAGAGCGCCCCAAGGGGGCCCCAGGGGGGCCCCAAGGCGGCCCCAAGAGCGCACCAGAGCGTCCCACGAGCTCGCCATCGCTCGGACGTCCACTCCCTGTGCTTGCTTCGGCTTCGTGCATGTCTTTTCTTTTCGCCGAATGATCAGGGATGCTCCTCGCTGGCCCTCGCCGAAGGAAACATGCACACGTCCGAGCGATGCCGAGCGAGTGTCCCACGAGGGCCTCAGGGGGCGGCTTGCCCGCCCCCCCCTTCCGTTTCCGGAGCACCCCAAGCGCGAATCCCCTCCGGGGGCCCTGGGGCCCCAGGGAGGCCCCGACACGGGCCACGGGAGCCCGAGTACATCGAAACTGCGTGTGAGCAGTCGTCGGAGTGCTGGGCCGAAGCCCCCCCCAACTTCGGGGGCGGCCAGGAGGGGGGGGGTCCGAGGGGGGGGGGTGTAAATCATGACCGGCGGCATGTGCGCGGCCTAGCGGGGGGGGCAGGGACGTAATGAGATAAGAAGGGGCGCCATGAAATCTGGGGAAATAGAATGGCCCACGCCATGATATCCCCCCCCCCCTAGTCATCACCCCCCTCTCTTCCGCCCCCGACCCAGCTGCTCCGCTGCCTTCCCCAGCGGCCTGCGATGGGGCGGCTGCCGCGGAGACGCCGGGACGCGCCGCCGACGCCGCGCGCCGTCTCCGTGACGTTTGCCATGCGTTTTTTTCCGGCATGCCGTGCCCCTCGCCTTCCCCCCCCCCTCCTCCTCCTGCTCCTCCCTCCTCCTCCTCCTTCTCTCCTCCTCCTCCTCTCTTCTCTCCTCCTCCTCCTCCTCCTCCTCCTCCTCTCCTCCCCCTCCTCCTCCTCCTCCCCTTCCTCCTCCTCCTCCCCCTCCTCCTCCTCCTCCTCCCCCCCCCTGGCCTGCGACGGCGTGGAGGCTCAGCGGACATGGTCAACTCCTGTGCCACCAGTCCACGAACTCCAAACTGCCCAGGACTAGAAACCGTTCAGGCACAGCGACTATCGAAGCTTTCATGGGCAGCTGGCAACGCCCATGGCTGGGGGCGAACGCGTTTCTAAAGGCCTCCCAAATGGGGTCTGAATAGATGGGGTCGGAGGATCGCGCCACATCGTCGATCCATCGGCGACGTCGGCGATGCATCGGCGTGGAGAAGATCGGGGTCCACATCGAGCCGCATCGCCGGATCGCATCCTACGCAATCCAGCTCCATCAAGAAAACCTAAGGAGTTTCGGGCCCAACAAACAAGCCACGCGCTGAGCCATCGTGGACGCGGGAGGAGGAGGAGGAGGAGGAGGACGGTGGAGGACGCAGGGAAAAGAGGAGGAGGAGGAAGAGACGGGAGGATGAGGGAGGAGAAAGAAGAGGGAGGACCGCTCCCCTCGCTCCCCTGCACGTAGCAGTCCCGCTCCCACGGATTCGCAGAAACGGCTCGAGGCAGGTCGGTCTCGCAGCGGCCGCCGCGGAAGGCCAGCAAGGCGAGGAGGAGGACGACGAGGAGGGAGGAGGACGACGCGGACCGAGCAGGGGGCGCCGCTGACACCGGCCGCCAGCGCACCAGGGGCTTGCCGTGGGGTCGCCCGCCTCCGTGGTCATCAGGGCGGCGGGCTCGAACGCGGCGTTGGCGGTCAGGTGGACTGGCGCGCCGGGGCTTCACCGCCACCGAGAAGCCCTCTGCCGACCGAGGAGCCATCGGCAGAGGGTTGGGACGCCCGAAATGGGCACGGAAACAATGGGCACAATGCCCAACAACAAGTGTTGTCCCGAACCAACAGCGGCCGCTGTTGGGCAGGCGGCCTTCTGTCTCAAGTGGGCACAGGCCGCGGCGGCGTGGACAGCGAATCCTGTTCAAAATGAGCAGGAATTGCTGTTGGGCATTGTACCCATTCTTTCCGTACCCACTTTGGGCGTCCGGAGAGGGGGGGCCCGCGCCTGGGCGGTGGCGCGCCTGGGCGTCGCCCGGTGCTGGGTGGGAAGCTCCAGTGCGTGCCACCGCCCCGGGTGCGGCCCCCGGCACCGGGAGGTGCTCGGTGGCAGGTGCGGGCAGCTGGTCCCTGATGTATACCGTCGGGGCCTTGACCTAAGGAACCCCAAATGAGGAACGAGGCCCCTTTTTCCCATAATTTAACCTTCGATTCCGCTATCGAATACCTAAGGACAGCCTGAGGCAAGCTGTGAAACTCTTAAGGAACACGGAGCCCCTCTCCAACGAAAAGGGTTCCTTCTTCAGGACCCCGACTGTATACTCGGAATGAGGGCCAGTCCTGGAGTCGGGCTCGAGGGTCGAGAATCGCGACTCGAGACTTTGTGGGCCTGGGAAACGAAGGATCGAAACTCGAACGAGCTCGAGAACCTAAGATTTATCCATAGCCACCACCTGCGAAACCGATATCCTGCGACCCTGGAGAGCGATTGACACGAATACTCTTGGACCCAGGAGTGCCCGAACATGTCCACATCCACCGTCCCCCGAGGTCCAGAGAAGAGCGGCCTGCCTGGCGGCGGACACGGATCATACTGGCCCTCCTCTCTCTCCTCCTCCCCATCGCCCTGGTCCTCTTCCCTGTTGACGTTACACCAACTAGAGGCGGCAGCCTGGAGCGTGCATGAGTGCAGACCGGCGTAACGCTGCGGTAAGAGCGAAGTACCCCTGGCTGGCGAAGCGGGTACCCCGGCAGGGCAAACAGAAACCGAAACTACCATCGCCCTCCTCCTCCTCCTCCTCCACAGCCCCAAGCCCTGCATGGCGCATGGGTGCGGCGCAGCGGCGGTGCGGCCCCTCGAAGGGCAACGGCAAGACAGGACAAGACGAGCGCCGACACCGCCCCACGCGCGAGCGGGCAGTGGACGTCGTTTCGCAATGTTCTGCGTGGATTCTGGATCTCGAGGGGTAGCGATGGGGATAGATGTTTGACTTTGGACCGCGAGGTTTCAACTGGCGCGCACCCGTGGTGTCTGGCCTTGGCCAACCGTCGGGGGACGACCCCAAGGCAAGGACGAAATGAGATCTGACGTGAGAACACAATGCGCCATCGACATCGTTTTTCGGAGGTCCTCGAATTCTTATGTCGGCGCAAGATCCCCTTTCCCGCACCCCTTCGACGCTGGCCATTCAAAGTGCATCGGTTTTAGCCGACGTGGTGCCTGACATAACTGTTCGAGCAGGACAGTGTTTCCACATGGACGCACGAAGGCTTGGAATGCTTGCCCCTGCGCTTGTGGGTCCAAGCTGATGTCGCGAACCTCGGCTGAGGCGGGCGCAAGCGAGCGCGGGCAAGCCTTCTCAGCTGACAGGCTCGCCGCAACAGAGAACATTGCCCAATCGATCCACTCACCTGTTACATGCGTCTGATTGTATACTGGGATCGCGATTGGCGTTCGCGATCATGCTGGCTATACCGGTGTAGTGTACAGTGTTCGTGATGATGAGGGCAGCGCTGGTGGTGCGAATCGTAATGTTCTGTTTCGCCACAGAACCGAAGGGAGTGAAAATATGACAATCGATGATAGTCCACTAGCACAATGCGGTGCATGAGACTTAACAGCAACAGTCGGTGGAGCACATGTCAAGCATTCGGGCGCAAGCGAGACCACACCATCTCAATAAATGCTGGATGGGCGCCGCGGCAACGCAACAAGCAGAGCAGGGGGGGACAAATTTACAAACAAGATCGGGCACGATCGGGCTACAAACGAGACTCGCCACCCAACTCCGTCGGAAAACCGCTGGTCGAGAAAGAGAGGTAGAGAGAAAGATATATATATATATATATATATATATATATATATATATGTGTTATACATAGAGAGAGAGAGAGAGAGAGAGAAAAAAATAAAAAAAAAAAAAAAAGGACCCGCGCGCGGGCGGGGCAGAGGAACAAGAACGGTGAGCTGAAATGCAAAGACACAAGTGTATCCCATCAGCTGGGCTGCCGTGGAGGTGGCAGGCCCGCGTCGCGTGCGCAGACCGACGATGGGCCCGGAGCTGCCCCCGCGGCAGGTCCGACAGAACCCTGCGACCGCCCCCAGATGACAAGAGCGGCAGCGGCGCCCCGCCAGTGTACTTGAACGGGCTGGACCTACATGTTGTTTTTGGTGTTGTTTTCGTTTTGTTTCTCGTTTTGCTCTACCTGTTTTGCTGTACCTCCCCCCCGAAAGAAAAACAAAACACAGCCGAAGTCCAGCAAAACAGCGTTTAGGTCCAGCCCTGGTACTTGAACGGGTGGTGGGGCGAAGGCGGCGGCGGGCCGCCGAAAGAAAGGACCTCACTCTCGCGCAGGCAGGAGAAGGCGACAGAGGCACGGCCGACAAGGACGTCCGATTCGGGCACCGCCGTCGGCGGCGGCAGCGGAGGAGGGAGGGCGGGGGGCGGGGGGCGGGGCAGGGGGCGAGGCGGCAAAGGGGGCCGCCAACTCAGAGACGGTCGTCATTGTTCGGCGCCATCGCCCTTCTGAGCAGATCGAGGCCGCAAGTCTTGAAGCCACGGCGAAGGGCAGCCCAACCACCGCCATCAGCAGCGACAAAGGCAAAGCGGAACAGCCACAGGAAAGACACGCAAGAGAGGGCGCACAGCAGTAGCATCAGCGACGACAACAGAACAGCAGGTTTCCACGACAGTGTGCGCCAAAGCATGGCCTCCGAGCATTCCGAGATTAGCACTGAGGCCCCCTCTCCAGGGCACGTCTGTTCTGGGGTGCGCTTGGCCTCCCCCGAAACTGCATTAGCAAAACCTTCAAGAGGTCCGCACGGATTTCTTGGATCGGCGCTGGAACCCCCTCATTGGCGCGCGGAGCGCGCAAGGGGCGGCACCGCAGGCATCGCCAGGAGTGCCCGGCGGAAATGCAAGAAACACGCGCAGAGTTGCGAAAGCTCATGTTTACGTAGTTCCCCTTTTCCAGTCGCACTCCTCGACGACCTCGTCGTCCTCCTCCACCTCGTCGTCGAGGTCGCAGCCTCCGTCCTCCACGTCGTTGTCTTTTATTATGCGACTCTTTTCTGATTCGAATTTCTTCTCTGCACGACGGTGATCGGAGGATCGCGCCGCATCTCCGATTTTCTCGGTGCCCACGTCGCCGATGCGCTGCCGACGTTGCCGACGCATCGACGATGCATCGGCGATGCATGGGCTTTGCATCGAGGTGGGGCACGAGGTGGCCGGTCGGTAAGTCGGAGGAGGAAGAAGTCATGGGCAGCTCTCGAACAGTAATCGTAGAGCTTTCGAAGGCCGCTTTCGGCCCTGACGGGGATGTTCAGAAACGGTCAAAGGCATAGTCCCGGGAGGATCTTTTGAGTATGTTGGCACATATCTTTTGGGATGCTTGTTGGATGTGCTCAATGTTTCGTCCAAAACCCGCCTGTAGGAGGACACGCCCGACCTTGCGGCGGCGGCGGCGCGGGGGGGCGGGCGGCCTTGGCGGCCCTCCTCCTGGCCGCGCGGGGCGCCGGGCCGCGGAGCGCCCGACCGGGGGAACCCCAGGGCGGCCGCGAGGCCGGCGAGCGGCGAGCGGGAGCGGGGCGGAGCTGCCGCGCCGAATCGAAGGTCGAGGATCAGGCTTCGAACCTCGGGGGTCGAGGACTAAGTCGGGCCTGTCCCCCTACTTTAAAAATGCCCCCAAATGGTCAGCAAAAGTGCTCAAACAATCGTCCCCAGACTATGTTTTTGACTATTTTTGAATAGTCCCCCTGTAGAGGAACAGGCCCGACTCAGTCGAGGATCGAGGATCGGAGATCCGGGATCGAGGAGCAGGGATCGAAGGTCGAGCTTCGCAAGCACAGGCGGACGGCACCGGGAGCAGCCTGCGAGTCGGTCGCACAGGGAGTACTGCCCACGGTGCACGCCCGCCCGGGATGGGTGTATACAGGTAGAAGGGTCCCTGGGACACACAAATAAATACACACACAAATAACAGGATTCCCCATATTCTCAAATATTTTCTGGGTTTTTGTCTTCCCCCCCACGTCCCATATTTTCGTATATTTTTGGGGGTATCGGCGATTAATTGTGTCTGTGTGTTCTTTCCCCTCCTGACAGGTGGCTGTATCGGGGCACATGCTGAGCAGGTGAGGGCCTACAGTAGAAAAAGAAGAAACGCCATCGCTTTTTGGACCTCTCCAGCGGCGGCACCGCAGGAGCCGTCGTCCTGGCAGCTTCCACCGCTCATTCGGGCATGCGGCCGCCCTTGGCTTCGGTCGCAAGATCTAGCGAAGCCATGTCCAAATTCAGCTGACTTCGACAGGCTTCGCCACGCAGGTGGGTTTTGAACGAAAAAACTACATCCAAAAGGCAAACATAGTCAAAAATAGTGGAAGATTCGTCCCCAAAATATGTTTGACTAGTTTTGAATACTTCTTCTGTAGAAGGACATGCCCGACTTAAGACACGATGGGCGGCGCAATGATCTTGAAGCACAACGGAGAGTCCCATGAATGGGCGCGCGAAGGCTAGCAAAAACAAGCCGTCGGCCGCGAACATGTACGCGTACAGGCGTACATATGTGTGAGCACATCTGACGCTCGTGCACAGAGTGGCGCCAAAAAGGTCCATAAAAGCCTATGGCAGGATCGTGCCGTGCAGAATTCGGCTGTGGTTTCTAACGCAGCGGGGATCGTTCAACCTTGAACGATCGGATATTTTAAGACAGATCGTTAAACATGGACCGAGTGTGGGTCGCCAGCGCCGGCAACGGGGTCGCCGCCGGGGTGGGGCTCCCGAGCCCCCAATCGGGCGATCAGTGGGCGATTCCGGGTCGATGTGTCCCCCCTGCTTGCCTGGGACGAGGCAGGGGCCGCCAGAGGCCGCCCGGTCCAGCAGGCCCTCGTAGCCGGCGACGGCGAGGAGGTCGGCGGCCTTCCTCCGCAGCCAGCCTGCTCACGCGGCCGCCCCCGCGCGCCCCCCCGCTGCCGCCGACGGGGGTCGAACCAGTGCCCCACGAGCCTGGTGCCGCACGTGCAGTGCCGGGGGTGGCGGCCCGTCTGCAGGTGGCGCCGTCCGAACTGCTTGCCCCCGCCAACCTTCGATTTATCTGGATCGATGGGAGGAGGAGGAGGAGGAGGAGGAGGAGGAGGAGGAGGAGGAGGAGGAGGAGGAGGAGGAGAGGAGGAGGAGGAGGACGAGGAGGAGGAGGAGAAGGAGGAGGAGAGGTGGAGGAGGAGGAGGAGGAGGAGGAGGAGGAGGAGGAGGAGGAGGAGGAGGCCGTGGTACGCTTCGGAGTTCGCCGCGTGCTCGGCGCATTCCGAGCCCTGTCCCCGCCGCCCATGGAGTTGTCTGCATCGTCGCGATCGGCGAGGGCAGGGTTCCGATTTCGCCGCCGTGGCGATCCCACAATCGTAGGGGGATGCGGAGCCCGTGAAGACGGGGCGGGGTGGGCACGGGCGGGCATCACAGCTGGCTCAGACGCGATGGAGGCGTCATAGCCTCATCACTCACGCGTCTCGTTGGCATGCACGCCGTGCACCGAAGCGTGCTCTCCCCCAGGGCCACACGGAGACCTACGGAGCGAGAGGCCTTCGCCAAGGGTGCCCCTCTCCACGCCCAGGGCTGCTCTTGTCGGGGGGAACGAAAGGTTAGGATAGCAAAGGGTAGGGTAAATGATCAGCTCACGTAGCTGGTCTTCCTAGCGCCTCCCGGCGCCGGGAGGCGCCCGTGTATCGAGGAATGGGCCTGGCGGCGGGGCCGAACACAGCTGCATGCAGCAGATGTCGTAGTCCCCCCTTGCCTTTCCCTATCCCCCCTCTCTCTTTCGGCCCGGTCCTGAGGGGTTAGATGTATACACCACATCGTCTGGTCGGCCAGAAGGCTCGGTGTATAGACGCCCCAGCTTCCAAAACTGCGGGACGATGGAGCGTCTATACACCGAATTCCTTCGATGAACTCGTGTTGGTTCCGTCGCCGACCAAACGCCATGGTGTATACGTCGAATCCCTCCGAGATCCTGACCCCCGTGCTCCAAGAGGCTGCACTCCTCCACCCCCCTCCCCGCAGCCCCCGCAGCCCCACCCTGATGCCGAGCATTGAATCGTGGCACGCTAACGGCGAGGAGGAGGAAGAGGAAGAGGAGGAGGGTCGGGAGGAGGAGGAGGAGGAGGAAGAGGAGGAGGGGCAGGAGGCGGAGGAGGAGGAGAAGGCGGAGGAGGAGGCGGAGAAGGAGGAGGCGGCGGGGCGGCGGGCCCGTGCCCATGGCGACGGCCCGCGAGCTGGTCTCCGGCCCGCCGCGCAGGGGCCGCGCTCGCCCGGAGGGCGACCGTGGCTCTCCGAGCTGGCGCGGAGCCTCCGATGCCAACCGCCTCCAGGCCGCCGACGCGGCCGCCGCCGCGTCGGCGCGGAGGCGGACCCGGCGGGCTCGTTGCCGCCCTGCGGGGCGCTGCCCTGGAGGCGTCCCCGGCCCGAGGGGGTCCCCGAGCGCGGGGGCTGCCGGCGGGTTTTGCGGAAGCGAGGGGCGACCTCCTCATCCGCCTCCTCCCTCCTCCTCCCTCCTCCCTCCTCCCTCCTCCCTCCTCCCTCCTCCTCCTCCTCCTCCTCCTCCTCCTCCTCCTCCTCCTCCTCCTCCTCCTCCTCCTCCTCCTCCTCCTCCTCCTCTTCTCCTGCTCGTCCTCGTTCTCGTCCTCCTCGTCTTGCTCGTCCTCCTCCTCCTGGTGCTCTCTCCTCCTCCTCCTCCTCCTCCTCCTCCTCCTCCTCCTCCTGGCCGCAGCATCAGTCAGCCTCAGTCCCTCCTGCTCGTCCTCCTCCCTCCTCCTCCTGCTCGTCCTCGTGCTCCTCCTCCTCCTCCTCCTCCTCCTCCTCCTCCTCCTCCTCCTCCTCCTCCTCCTCCTCCTCCTCCTCCTCCTCCTCCTCCTCCCTCCTCCTCCTCCTCCTCCTCCTCCTCCTCCTCCTCCTCCTCCTCCTCCTCCTCCTCCTCCTCCCTCCTCCTCCCCCTCCTCCTCCTCCTCCTCCTCCTCTCCTCCTCCTCCTCCTCCCTCTCCTCCTCCTCCTCCTCCTCCTCCTCCTCCTCCTCCTAGGAACGATGCCCCTCTTTGGACCCGAAAGCGCCTGCGTGCACGAGGAGGGCTAAAGGAACAGCCATGGAAGGACCTGAGGAATATCGAGCCCCTTCCGAACCCAACCTGGGCCTTCATTTTCAGCGTATTGACTTTATCTGAGCCTCGTGAGGGATGGAGGTCCCAGAACGGTGCGGTGACACACTGTTCGGTGACATCGGAATCCCAAATCGACCTCACCGCACGGTCCGTAATCGCATTGTGTTGAGACCTGAGGTCCCAATCGCCCGTTACGCCCTCGGAGAGCGACTCAAGGCCCCAAACCATGGAGTCACCCCGAACCCCCGCTGACTCACCATAGGGCACACGGTGTGGTCACCACACCGTCTGGAGGCCCCCGAGAGGGGTGCTCTGGAGACCATCCGAGCGACGAAAAGAAACGGGTCTCACGCGAGATGACATACGTACCGACCTAACGCTGCGACTTACGCGGGCCGCCGGCACGGCACGCTACATTGGAGACGAAGGCGCTCACGCGCGAGCTGACGCGGGCAGCTTACGCGCCAATGTCAGTGGACGACCCCACTGTTCTGCGTCGCTCATCTGGGCCTCCAAGAAAATCCAGTGGACATGTTCGGGGATCTACTGACCAGGGTCAATCCAAACCCGGGTCAGTCAGGCTTTGCAGGATCCTGCAAAATCCTGCAAGATCCTGCAGAGTCCTGCACGCTAGCCAGGGTCAATTTAACCTGGCTTTGCAGAATCCTGCAAAATCCAGCGCTCTAGCTGACCCCCGTTTGCATTGACCCCCGTCTCAAGGCTCCCGACAACTTGGGCCAGGGACACCTCCGGCACCAGCCGATCCACCTTCCCGCCACGCCCTCAGCATTTCTTGTTTATCAGCCTCCGCCACCAGGCCCCCTTAGTGTTTACATATCTTCCCCCTCCTCGCCATACTCCTGTCTTCTTTCGTGCCCCACCTCCTTTTCCCGCCCCCCTCCATCCTCAAACCCCAGTGCCCACTCCTCACCACCCCTTGCTTCTCGTCCCGTACTCCTCGCCTTTCCTTCCTCCCATTTCCGGCTCACTGCTTCTTCCTCGCACCATTTGTCCTCCTTCGCCGCCGCCGCGCCCTCATGACACATTCCCTACATGGTTTCATTGTTCCTTCGCTTCACATTGTTTCGTTCCTCCTTGTCTGTGCAGCTTCAAGCCTGTCCTGGGTGATCAATCTTCCTTCCACGTCGACATACCTCCTTTCCCTCCTCCTCCTCCTCCGCTTCATGTTCCCCTCTCCTCCCTCCTCTTCCCAATATCTTTCTCTCTTTTAACCACTAGTCCTCCACAGTCGATGTCGACGTCACCTGAATCGGCGGTCCTGACGACGGGGTGACGGCGGCAGTGGCAGTGCCGAAACGCGCCCCGACTCCAGGAAGGCGTGAGGCTGCAAACCCGAAGTGTCTAGCTGATGCTCTGAGGGGGGGCCTGTGCTCAAGGGGGCGGGAGCACCGCTCAACGCTGCGCTGGCCACCGAACCTGCAACTTGGGGGGTTTGCATAATCCTGTGCACCTCAGTTTTGACTTCGGCTTTTATGCGGGTGCACCATGAAACGCCTTCGGGTTTTCCGTTGGCACAGGTGTTCCCTTTTGTTACCTAACAGCGAAGACTGATACGTTTCTAATGGGGTCAAAAGAGAGCATCTGATGACTCCCAGGGGGGTCTGGGCGGGAGCCGGACAGGCGAGAACCGGGCTCGTTTTAAGCAAACAGTCACACACTTCGTGCTCTTCGACCTCCCAGAACTCCATTCCCGGGCCACATTTTGAATGCCCGGAGTCAATTGTAGGCCACTTCGTGCTCTTCGACTTCCCAGAACTCCATTCCCCGGCCACATTTTGGATGCCCAGAGCCAACTGTAAGCCACTTCGTGCTCTTCGAGTTCCCAGAACTCCATTCCCGGGCCACATGTTGAATGCCCGGAGCCAACTGTAGGCCACTTCGTGGTCTTCGAGCTCCCAGAACTCATTCCCGGGGCCACATTCTTAATGCCCGGAGCCAACTGTAGGCTACTTCGTGGTCTTCGAGATCCCAGAACTCCATTCCTGGGCCACATTTTGAATGCCCGGAGCCAACTCTGGGCCACTTCGTGCTCTTCGAGTTCCCAAAACTCCATTCCTGGGCATGATTTTGAATGCCCGGAGCCAACTGTGGGCCACTTCGTGCTCTTCGAGTTCCCAAAACTCCACTCCTGGGCATGATTTTGAATGCCCAGAGCCAACTGCAGGCCACTTCGTGTTCTTCGAGTTCCCAGAACTCCATTCCCGGGCCACATTTTGAATGCTGAGGCAGGCTGAGGCTGAGGCTGAGGCAGGCTGAGGCTGAGGCAGGCTGAGGCTGAGGCAGGCTGAGGCTGAGGCCGAGGCTGAAGGCAGACTGAGGCTCAGGCTGAAACAGGCTGAGGCTGAGGCTGAGGCTGAGGCTGAGGCAGGCTGATGCTGAGGCAGGCTGAGGCTGAGGCTCAGGCTGATGCAGGCAGGCTGCAGGCTGAGGCTGAGGCCGAGGCTGAGGCTGAGGCTGAAGCAGGCTGAGGCTGAGGCTGAGGCAGGCTGAGGCTGAGGCTGAGGCTGAGGCTGAGGCTGAGGCTGAGGCTGAGGCTGAGGCTGCAGGCTGAGGCTGAGGCTGCAGGCTGATGCTGAGGCAGGCTGAGGCTGAGGCTGAGGCTGATGCAGGCTGAGGCTGAGGCAGGCTGAGGCTGAGGCCGAGGCTGAAGGCAGACTGAGGCTGAGGCTGAAGGCAGGCTGAGGCTGAGGCAGAGGAGGCTGAGGCTGAGGCAGGCTGATGCTGAGGAGGCTGAGGCTGAGGCTGAGGCTGAGGCTGAGGCTGCAGGCTGA